ATTTAAAACATATAGATTAAATTATTATATTATTATTGTAAAATATTAATAATAATTGGGTTAATATTATTATAAATAGTTTTTGTGATTTCTACGTCATCAGTCCTTTTTTCTGCTCTGTACCAACATGTACAGTAATGAGAAATCCAGACTCTTGACCGTTTTGCGTTAGCCGTTAGCTTCTACAGCCGATCACCTGGTTTCTGCACACTCCAGTTGTTCTATATAAACTCCTTGACTTAGTCCTGACTAACCCTGGATCCCATCTGATACTGGATCAGACCTGGGACATATCATAAACAGGATCAAATTGATCCTAAAAAAAAATATGAATAAGAATAATTAAAATAAACAGAAAATCTGATTTTTGCTTCAAGAAGGTTTCCAAACAGCTGTCAGCATAATGAGATCTTTGAATTTCACAATAAGAGTCTATGTACACAGAGTTCTTAATGCATCCTGCATCATCTATAATTAATTAACGTTTTGGAGTCATCCTGATTCAGTATGGTCAGAACTGGTTRGAACAGTCAGTTAAGCTCACATGGAGCTCAAACTTGCTGTGGTAGAAGCTGAGAGTCCCCCACAGCACGTCCTCTGAGCAGAGCATTCAACCCCGTTARGGTTTACTTTGTTTCCCTCTCATCCAGCCCTCTGGTCACAGGGTTAAATTGTGAAAGAGGAAAGCGTTCTTGAAGACTTCCTGCTGGCGGTCAGCTCTGACTCTGAGCTCACCTGTCTCCACAGGAAGATCGTGGATCGCATCGACACGGACAAAGACGGCTACATCAACCACTCAGAGCTGCACTACTGGATCAAACACCGCCAGAGGAGGTACATCCAGGACAACGTGAACAAACACTGGAAGGACTACGATAAGAACCAGGATGATAAGATCAGCTGGGAGGAGTATAAGAACACCACCTACGGCTACTATCTGGGTAAGTCCTTCACATCAGTACTGAGTATTTTTGGATCAGTCTCAGTCCTGAACATCTGGACTCCATTCTGCTTTTAACCAACTCAGACAATGGTTATTACCTGAGAGCCTTGTTAAACTCCAGTTAAAAGAGACCAATTATGGGTCCTAGAAATTTTTATGGTATGTCTGTGGGTCTATCCAGACCATGTTCATTCAATTTAATGCACAAAATAATTCTCAGATAAAAAAATTTCCCATTTTCTAGTTCTGCCTGCTCTGACTTCCATTCAGAAGAGCTGTTTATGTTAATGAGCTCTGTTGGTAACGCCCTCCAAAAATCTGTTGACATTAATTCCGCCCTCCAAAGCCAGGTTTACGTTAGCATGGCTAATAATAGCAGAAGCTCCGTTGTACAACCAAATGGGACTCTGAGTCAGACCCAGAGGCAGAGTCATGGTCGCAGCTTCTTTTTTTTTCTCTCCCTCCTCTGCTCTGCGCTGTTACCAGAGCAGGGAGCAGCAGCAGTCAAAATACCTCAGAAACTCGAACAAATAGGCTTTAACAAGGCTTTAATAAGCTAAACAATAGAGGTACATGAGAAAACGTGTTCATAGCGAACGAAAATAAATAATTAAATTGTTTGTGTCCGTGCCGGTCTCAAACTCTGGTCTCCTGCTCTCTGGTCCAACACTCTACCCATTGCCCCATTTGAGGTTTGTTGTGAAATGAGCTGCGCATTGCACAACAACAACCGTGACGGCTTTTTATACTGAGGAGGTCGAGCCTCATCCGGGGGTTGCTAGGTGAGGGGCTGAACGCAGGTTCCGGTGGGTTGTCGTACGGCTTGTGACATCACAAAATGATGGAAGTATAAAACTTGTCATTAAAGGAGACACATCATGCCAAATGAAATTTATTTATTTTGAAATTGATCTGGGTTAGACGTTTGGGTTCCAGGTTCTTTGCTGTCCCACAGACCTGTGACATACAATATTAGTTACAGTTCCAAAGTAGAATGTGACTGATCATTTAATTATGATTTAAGTTCTGATTTGACATATGAAAATCAATAGGCTAATTGGTGATGAAAAATCAAAACAATTACATTTTATTTGCTTTTTGTACATTTCAAACTAACAGTCAAGCAAAAAATCCAATTTATTTAAAATAATTTCCCATCTGTACAGTGAGTGTGAGTATATTGTAGTTGTTCAATTAAAAAATACTTTATTGATCACAAAAGTAAATTTTATAATATAATAGTAGTTCAAATGCATGTATTTTAATTTAGCTATGCTCCCCAGTGTAGGTAAGGATATAGAGTGTGTAAATAAATAACGCACCATTGTGACACATTCGTTTGAAGACGTGGTTTTGCAGGTTTGTCATTCTGAGTGTCTTGCACTGGGTCAGACTCTGGCTCGTACATGTAAGGCTGGATTGACAAGTCTACTGTTGACTCCTTATACTTTCTTGCCATCTGCCATCACTAATATGCACCTTCATATACTGTACATTAATTTTTGTACTGTACTTTACAGTGTATATATGTATATAAATAAGCATATGTGTTTATGTATATGTGCATTGGTACATTACTATATATCACATGTGTATATTGTGGGGTTTTGTTTGTTATCTTTTATTAATCTTTCATTATTCTTCTCAGCCTCTCTTGTATGAAGCTGCAGTAATGTGCAAATTTCCAGACTGTGGATCAATAAAGTTTTATCTTATCTTATTTTATCTTAAAAACAGTTTTTAGTCAGTAGATAACTGTGTTTTTGCTATGAAACTACAAATATGGCCGAACGGGGTGGAGTCGAACGCTCAGCGACCTGGAGGGGGTGGGGTCTGACATATCTCATTTGCATTTAAAGAGGCCGCACCAAAACGGCTTGCTCTGAGGCGCAACTCAGAACAGGGGTAAAGCAAGGAAAGCAAGGAGTCTGTGGAGCAACAAAAACGAGGAAATAAGACCAAAGCGTTGCAGTTTTATTTTAAATAGACCATAAGTGAATGATTTAGACGTGAAAAAGAAGGATTTAAAAGCATGATATGATACCTTTTAATATACATTAAAAATAAATTTACTTACAGTAAATATGCCCCTGGGTGCATTTTTTTGGTCTTAGGTCTTTTTTTTAAGAAGTACATACCCGAAGTTGAGTAAAAAAACCTTTGAAAAGTGAATTTTGCATAATAGGTCCCCTTTAATGGTTCATGAGATATTTTGCTAAAATGACAGATAAACAAAAGCAAAAATCTTATCGCCCTTCAGACCATTCATGATGCACAGATCCTCAGACCTGATCCTTTAATGAAAAATTTCTATGGGTTTGGAGACAGAGTGTAAGTTTTGTTTGTTTTCAGGGGAGGAGTTTGACGACGTGGAGGACAAGGACACCTATAAGTCCATGCTGGCCCGGGACGAAAGACGCTTCAAGGCGGCTGACAGAGACGGAGATGGGATCGCCACGCGGGAGGAGTTCACRGCCTTCCTTCACCCTGAGGAGTTTGATCATATGAGGGATGTGGTGGTCCAGGTAGGACCTCCTCCATGACGCTTTGATTAATTTGTTTCTGTGTCTTAAAAACAAGTCTTGATTTTTTTTGTTTTGTTTTGTTTTTGGTCTTCTTTCCTGATATTTTGAATTTTTAGTCTTGTCACAAGCTGTAAATGTCTTTATCGTTTGGTAATTCTTTGTTTTCTTATAATAAAGCCTGGAATTTATTTATGTTTTTCTACAAAAATCTTTGAGATAATGAAGTTAAACAGAGAAAAAAAATGTTTAAATTAATTTTAAAAATTAACAAACTGAAAAATGTGTTCAGTGTATTCAGCCCTGAAAATGCAGCCATCTGTGTCACCACCTTCTGCAGCTGCAGTTCCAGTATCAGGTCTATTTAAGTATTTTTGTAAAATAATCAAACATCCACAAAACTTCCAGGTTGAAGGAAACAGATTTAACAAATTACCCAGAGGGGTGAATACTTTTGCAAGGCGCTGTGTTCAAAGATTAAAACTGAGTAAAAAACCAGCCAAGGTGTAAAAACAAAAGACAACTACAAATAAGCTTTGACAGACCTGCAGACAGTCTGAAGATCAAAACCACTTTAACAGATTTGAGTTTGGCTACTTRGAAAAAAATAAAATAAAAAAGAGTGCGTGGTTTAAAACTTTTGTATTTAGTAAATAGTAAAAGTATTTCTTACAAGTAGAAAYTAAGAGCAGCCGCCTGTTCTCCACAGGAAACGATGGACGACATTGATAAGAACAAAGATGGAAAGGTCAGCTTAGAGGAATACATTGGTAAGCCCCGCCCACTTTCTCTGTGACCTTTGACCTCTGACGGCATTAGACCTGTCTTAAATCTGACCCACTGATTTCCCCCCAAAGGAGACATGTACACACCAGAGGAGATGGAAAGTGAGCCGGACTGGGTCCAGACCGAGAAGAAGCACTTTGGAGAGTTCAGAGACGTAAACAAGGTTAACAAACAAACATAAACAAATAAAGTTGTTGTTCTGGTTCTGGGTTCACCAAACCCAAACCTGTGCGGACCAGAACCAGAACAGGTTGAAGTTGGAGAAGCTCGGGATCCAGTTGCAGCTTCCTTCACTCCTGTCATGTGTTCTGTGCAGGACGGCTTCCTGGATTCTGCTGAAGTGGCCCAGTGGGTCTTACCAGGAGAGGTGGACCACGCCGACAACGAGGCCAAGCACCTGATCCATGAGACCGACACTGATAAGGTGATCAGTCGAAACAAGTTGTTCTGCARTGAAAGCTTAAATGTTTGAACAGAAGAACAACCAACCAGAGTGTGGTGAACAGCAGTGCAGGTGAAGCCTCCAGGTGTGACTGGACTATAGTGGGTCAAAGACTGAGTGCTGAGACCCTCTGTGCTCTGGGTTAAGACCCCACTGTGATGTTAAAAATCACTATGGGTGGTTTGCAGGGTCTTCGGAGCAGCACACTCCCTGTTTCATGTGACAGAGTAGGATAGGTCCATATTCATAACATAAAGAAATAAAAGTGGGTCCACCTCGAGCCAACAGGACCCCCCCCCCCCCCCCMMCCCCMCCCCCACACACACACACACACACACACACACACACACACTCACAGTCTTCATGTCACATGACCATTAATGAAAAATGTGTTGGAACAACAAATATTTAGATATAAAGCAGCAACACATGAAAACAAAGGATCTGATGTGTATTTATTTTGTTTTAAYAAGGTTTAATAGAGTTTACATGAAAGAGGCGGGGTTTAAAGCTGAGATCTCTTTATGGCTCTGTTCCTACTCCAAATTCATCTTCAACAATTAAAGAGGTTTATCTTTTATAAGTTCATTCAGATTTTTAATCTAYTCCAGAAATCTAATTAGCACTTTTGAAAATCATGTCTGAGGWTCCCTGGTGAGCATCTTCATGTAGAAAGCAGCATAAAAACTTGTTTGGTTAATACTGATAGTATCATGATGCTTTCACACTTAAGGTTTTCAAACTTTGTCACAGATTTACAACGTTGTGTAGCTCASAGCAGATATGAAGTTTGAAAAACAGATCCCTACATCTGACCATCTCATGCTCTATTCTTCCGTCGTTAGTGAACAAAACCCCAACATACCTAAACTCCTCCACTTGAGGCAGAACCTCACCCCCAACCTGGAGAGAGCAATCCACACTTTTGCAATTGAGGACCATGGAAATTTGGAGGTGCTGATTCTCATCCCSGCCACTTCATACTGTGAACCACTCCAGTGAGWGCTGAAGACCACAACAGAATGATACTAACAGGRCCGTATCATCTGCAAATAGCAAAGATGRSATCCTGAGGCCACCGAACCGGACTCCCTCCACCCCCTGACTGCACTGAGAAATCTGTGAAATTGGTCAACCCTGGTGGAGTCCAACTTCCACCCTGAAGGGGTCTGACTTACTGYCAGCAATGTGAATCAAACTCTTTCCAGTTGTACAGGAACTCAATAACCCTCAACAATGATCCCACAACCCCGTACTCAAAGAGTACCCCACAAAGTGTACCTCGAGGAACATGGTTGAATGCCTTCTCCAAGTCCACAAAACACATGTAGACTAGATGAGCAAACTCCCAGTGACCCCTCAAGAACCCTAGTGAGGGTAAAGAGCTGGTCCAGTGTTCTGTGGTCAGAATGGAACCAGCATTGTTCCTCTGGAATCTGAGGTTTGACCATTGATCAGACTCTCTTCACCAGCACCCCTGAATAGACTTTACTGGGGAGGCTAAGGAGAGTGATGTCCCTATAATTGGAACACACCCTCCGGTCTCCCTTTTTCAAGAGGAAAACCACCACCCCAATCTGCCAATCCAGTGGCACTGCCCCCAATGTCCATGTGATGTTGCAAAGGTGTGTCAAGGAAATCAGGGCAGATCTCATCCACCCTGGGAGCCCTGCTACGACTGCAGCTCTAGTTATGAACAGGCAAACCCCAAAATCCTGGACTCAGCTTCCTCCGTACATGTGCCGATCAGAAGATTCAAGAGGTATTCCTTCCACCTCAAGATGACATTATTGGTTGTGGCCAACAGCTCCCCACCTTTATTAAACAGTGTTAGTGAAGTGGTGCTTCCACCGCCTCGGCTGTTGGATGATTTGCCAGCATCTCCTCTGAGCCAATTGAGAGTTTTAGTCCAAAACCTCACTAAACTCCTCCCACATCTGAGCTTTTGCCTCATCAACAGCCAGGGCTGCAGCCCACGTGGCCTGCTGAGATCCCTAAGCTGCATCTGGTGCCCACAAGAAGCACAAAAGAAGCACAACAACCTTGCGGCCACAGCTCAAGGCAGCTGTGCAAATTAAGGTGCAGAACATGGCCCAGTAAAAACTAAATGTCCCCCCTCAGCTGGGATGYGGTTAAAGTTCTCTTGAAGGTGTAAGTTAAATATCTTTCTGATGGGTTCCTCTGCCAGGCGTTCCCAGCAAACCCTCACAACACGTTTGGGTCTACTGGGTCTGTCCGGCATCTTCCATCTGATCCAACTCACTACCAGGTGGTCAGGCTGAAAGAGTTTATAAAGGGTGCTTTGAACTGTGTTTATGAATGGAAAGAAATGATTATGAAGACACTATGCAGTGCTTTGACTTRATGAGATTTCTTTGAATGTGGAAAAGCAACATTTTCATTGGTTGWTGGTCTCTTTGAGCCCTAYTCCAGCTCCWACCAAAAGTGGTTCTCTCTTCTGACCCAGCAAAGGTTGGTGCAGAGTTAGCRTCAGGACTGGTTTTGAGGGAGGTCTGGCTCCAGTTTAGTTTAGTTGAATGAATGACAGCCTGATTTATCAATAATTAAAATTGTATGGTTAATTCTGGTTTAATTACTAACTGTCATTTCTGTGTATCTTTCTCTTCCTGTCCTCTGAATCACTTCCTCCCATCATCTGTCAATCATCTTCAATAATCGAATGTCTGCTGGAATCTGCTGGTCGAACAACAAACAGGACGAGAAAATCACCAAGAAGGAGGTTCTGGCCAACTGGAACATGTTTGTAGGCAGCCAGGCCACAAACTACGGAGAAGATCTAACAAAGAGACACGATGAACTTTAACAGTCTTTATTTCACTCCTGGGGGGGACGGGCGGATGTTACTCGTGGAGGATAATGTCACCGAGCTTTTATAGTGGAGGAGTGTGACACAAGGAGAAATATGTTAGGGGTTTTACGAGTGGGGGGTTCAATCATAAAGTATTTAATTACAGACAGGGGTTTTATAGGTGGGAGGGGGTCATTGAGGATTATTTTTAGAGGGTTGCTCATGAAAAATTATATACCTGTTTTACAGTTGGGGGGAAGGGAGGGTTGTTGATAGAGGATCATGTTACAGGGGTTTTATGGGGGGTCACTCATGGAGGATCATGTTACAGGGGTTCTATGGGCGGGTTACTCATGGAGGATCATGTTACAGGAGTTTTATGGGGGTGTCACTCATGGAGGATCATGTTACAGGGGTTTTATGTGGGGGTCACTCATGGAGGATCATGTTACAGGGGTTTAATGGGGGGGGGGTCACTCATGGAGGATCATGTTACAGTACTTTTATGGGGGGGTCACTTATGAAGGATCATGTTACAGGGGTTCTATGGGGGGGGTCACTCATGGAGGATCATGTTACAGGAGTTTTATGTGGGGGGGTGTCACTCATGGAGGATCATGTTACAGGGGTTCTATGGGGGCGTCACTCATGGAGGATCATGTTACAGGGGTTTTATGGGGGGTCACTCATGGAGTATCATGTCAGGGGNAGGGGTTTTATGGGGGGTCACTCATGGAGTATCATGTCAGGGGTTTTATGGGGGCGTCACTCATGGAGGATCATGTTACAGGGGTTTTATGGGGGCGTCACTCATGGAGGATCGTGTTACAGGGGTTTTATGGGGGTGTTCACTCATGGAGGATCATTTATGGGGAGGGGGGTTGCTCATGGAGGATCACGTTACCAGGGTGGGAGGGGGTCATTGAGGGTTATTTTTAGGGGGTTGCTCATGAAAAATTATATACCTGGTATACCTCATAGGTCAGAGGTCTTGACAGTAGAGAGGAGGCTCAGTTGTGTTTATAAAGTCGGTTCTGCAGTTTAGGGTCCAGGTAGAAGTCCCCCACAAAGACCCCGGGGTTCWGATGCAGTCACAGTTGATGTGTAGAGGTCCAGCTTATGAACTCTGTCCTTATTTTAAATGATTACAGATGATCACAAATATCCAGGATCAGATTATTTCAAACAGTTGAAAACAGTCGTGGGTTGAGTGGACTGTGTCCCACGTGCACTGATGTAGGCAGAGATGAGAGTCATTCTGGTTTTACAAAAACTTATCAAAGTCTTTCCTTGTCATTAAACTGTCAGTCTACAGCATTAACTGCTTAAAATACATAAATATACTGTTGGTGCAGAAAAAAATAAACTTACTGACTGTTTGGGGTTTAATTATTAAAGTTTTTTTTTCTACAAACCTTTTTATTTTATTCTCATTCTTCCCACTTTAAGCCCAATTTATTTGATTATGTTTTTGATGGTTTGGTATTCAGGAGGGAAGTAAGTCAACGGAAACAGCTGCTGTGATCTGAGCAGCTCTGAGAGGACAGATGAGTAYAAAAAAACACAAAATAAAGAACTACTCATTTCAACAAAGTCCTGCAGAACTATCTGTGAACTCTGAACAGGTCCAGCCTTGAAGCAGATGGTCTACAGCAGCAGCAGATCAGACCAGGAGCCACTTCTTGTCAGTTGACAACATTAAACCGATGCTACACATCACAGACTCACTGAAACTGGACAGTAAGAGACTGGAGAATGATGGGTCTGGATTCACTGCAGTCCAATGTTCTCCACAACCACTAGATCTCAGTCCAATCAGAACCTTTGGGATGAGGTGGAT